GTTTTTTTTCGATATTAAGTCAAAATAAGGTGAAAATGTAAATATTTCAAATAAAAAAAAATTACAGTGTCCTTAGGACATAAAAAGGTAAGTTTTCACCAAATTTTGTGAAAAAAATTTTTTTTGCATAAGATAAAATTTAAAAAACCTCAAAACTTGATTATTTGAATTTTTCACATAAATTTTGAGGTTATGTGAAAAAAGTGTAATTACAAAAGTTGTAGGTCTCTTTATTACCTACAACTTGGACTTGTAGTTTTGCCGGAAATCGAGATACACCGTTTTTTACCCTTAAACCCCCCCCCCCCCCTTCCACTGCCCGACCTCAGATCGCCCGTAAATTTTTTTTCCTTTCATTTTTGTTATATTCTCGTCCTTTTTTAACGGGTTTTATCCTACTATTATTTATTTTGGTTTCAAAAATTATCGACCCTGGTCTATAGAGACACAATACGTTTTAATATTCAAAGCTAATATACTTATTACCTGTAATTTAAAAAGTAAATTACAATTCAGTAATAAAATTAAATGATTAAGATTATAGTTATATTCCATTTAACGTTTATGGCTTTAGAATGGATATTATTTATTATCATTATACATTATACTAAATCGTTATTGTATTGTTTAAAAGTGATTTTGAGTTTTTTCTGGCGAAATGTAACAAAAGCTAAATAGTTTACAGATTATAAAATCTGGGATCGTATACTATGCGTTTTCTATTGTTTCTTTATAGCATATTCTTCATCATCATTAACAACCTTTAATAGTCCACGGCTGAACATAGGCCTCACTTTAGAAACTAGATTTGTGTTAATTAATAGGGGTCGACTTTTAGACCTCGTCGACCCCCAAAATCAATTTACGTTTATGTCGACCCCTGGGAAACCGATTTAAACCAAAAGGGGTCGGTATTGACCACTACGGGAATCCCTGGTTTGTGTCAAGTTTTCCTTCTGTTTGCAGTGCAGTTAGGACACCTACGGGTGAATAGGGGTGGTGACACTCCGTATCCTCAATTCGTTACCACACGGACAATCTTACATACTATTGAAATTATGAACTATGGAATCCAGCATATTATTCGAATTAAATATAGCCTTAATACTTGTTGCTTGATTCTATGGGTTCCTCTTTTGAGAGTGCCGTAGTTTACAAGGAACCCTTAACACTTTGTATTAATTTGGATAAAATGCTTAGTATGTATTACTTCTGAGTAAATTCGTCACGGGTTTCAAGACAGCTTAGCATGCTAAGCCGAGTCACTGTTACGCTCGGTGATTTCGTGGGTTACCACTAGCAGTTGGAGTGTGTTTTGTTGAAGATTTATTTAAAAAAAATGTCATACACTGGCTATGACCGAATTCTGAAAATACAACATCTTTTTAGAGATGGCGCCACTACACCCAGTGATTTGGGTTCGAATTGTATGAACCATAGTTGGTTGTCCCGAATTTCATACATTGTTTAAATATTACTTAAAAACCCTCCTCAGTACTGCTCTTCTTTAACGCAATAGTTGTTTTCTTTTTAGGAATAAACACAAAGAAATAACAAATAATCACATCAATAGCTCACAGAATCGTGCTTTTCACCAAGTGGAATAACGTTACTGGAGCCCCAATACCCCCCTCCCCATCTCCTTAATTCTATCGTGGGGTAGGGGGGGGGGGGGGATCAAAAGGCAGTAAGAAACTTACGAATCTTAATTGCGGTTATCCACTTACCAGCCGGTAGGTGACCCGTCTCTAGTCTGCACGTTTTGCCTCTTTAACACAAAATTAAACCGTGGCACTCCGGAAGTGCTGACAGAAGTGAAATCTTGAACAATTACGTGTGTATTTTTTTCGATTCCAAAAGTTGCTACATGAATATGTATGTATATCTGTGTTGTACGTATATACACAATATATGTTTATATTATACATAGATATATTATCAATGTATTTTAACCCAAACTCAACTCTCGTGTAAACGGGGCAAAATATGTAAATACTTATACAGAGGTGTCGGTAACGGTAACAGTGTCGCGAGTTCAATACTTTTTTCCCATCTCAAAAATACATTCTTTTGTTTGTTGTTCAAAAATACCCAACATACCTAAAAAAGTTTTTACTTCAATAACAATCCTTACTTATTTCATGGTCATAAAAGTTTATAGATATTATATTGTACTAAAATAAAACTCAAATACTTACGTCTACACTAAAGAAAGTGTGAGTTCAACCTTTGACCCGGTCGTGTAGGGTCAAATTATCTTATAAAGATGTTATAAATTGTATATATTATACAGGTTGTTCTAAAACGTGAGATAACATTTTATTCTTAAGTGAATAATGATGTGATACGATCAGGAAACTCTGGCGTTGAGTAAGAGAACACTTTATTTCTAGGCCTGATGACATTTCCGTGTGTGTCCTAATCCGTGTAGTGACGGATTAAGAATACGGAGTGTCACCACCACAATTCATCCCGTGGGTGTCGTAAGAGCCGACTAAGGGAACGAACTAAGCAGGACAACAGCACTGCAAAGAGAAGGAAAACTTGAAACAACCCCTGTACCAACCCGTCTCGCCAGCGTGGTATAGTAGGCCAAAACCTCTTTTCTAAAGAGAGGCCTATGTCCAGCAGTGGACTATTAAAGGCGTTGATGATGATGATGATGATGATGACATGTAGTGTAGTGTACTTGACGCCAACATCAGAGGTGATATGTTCAATTACCTTCAAATGTAATTAGAATAATATAATAATAATACTAATATTTCGCACATCAGACGCACAACACAATCTAGTTTTAAACTAAGCAAAGCTTGTACTATGAAAGCTAGATTGACTGATAGAATACTTTTTTTTTTTTGTGTAAATACGTACACCAAGGCAGTCAATGATTATTTTAGGTACCGGGTAGTGCTGTAATAGGTTCACAACAATATAATTACAATACAATCTTTGGAACTGTTTATCGTTGGTAACTGGATGCTTTTAAGCGAAAAGCTTCACTTGTCACATCCAACATAGATGGAGCGTACAGAGTAGACGAATCGCAATACGAATTTTAGAATTATTTTTTCTGTTGTTATATTAAAGTTAACCTTAAATTAAACAGAATAAAGTAAGTGGTTTATTGGCCTACAAAGTGCTTAAGACTAAATTGATCATTGCAATAGTGCCGGCACGAGTGCCTGTGCTGAGATACCCTCTTCATCCCTTCTAATGCTACGAAATCCATATAAATACATGTTATAAATGCGAAAGTGTGTCTGTCTGTCAGTTACTTCTTCACGCTTAAACCGCTGAACCGATTTAAATAAAATTTGGAATAGAGATAGTTTGAGTCCCGAGAAAGGGCATAGGATAGTTTTATCCCAGAAATCATCCTTTAAGAGGTAAAAGGGGGGGTGGCAGTTGGTATGGAGAATCAATAACCGTTGAACCGATTCAGATGAAATTTGTATGGAGATAATTTGACTTTGAGGAAGGATATAAGCTACTATTTATATCTCGATAAGCGATATACACGCGGGCGGAGCCACGGGCAAAGGCTAGTAATTTATTAATTGTACAAATGCCTGCATACTTCAGGCGTCCGCCTGTTGTAACTGTAGAGAAGAGATGTTAAGACTATCTTCCTGATTGAAACCCTGGTAAAGCTACTTATTCATAGAAATCAGCCCCACATTGTTAATTGGGGTTGATCAAAATATCTTATGCAAAACAGTGTTCATGTAACTTAGCACTAATGAAGAATTTGATTAAATTATGTCAAAAAAATATTTAAAATAAAACAGCCTGTATATTGACGCAAGATATTTGAATAGGACCTATTTGTTGAGATCTATTGTCCAGTACGAACAGCCGGACAGACGATAAGCGATCAATTCATCTCGGCCGGACATATTTTGGTGCTTTGTCAATGCATTACTACGAATTTAATCCCATTTAAATTCTTTATATTGAAATGTAACATTGTAAGTTCATGGACAAGACCGTTGTTGCATTTTTATAAAACTAATTAAAGTACGTGGGTAAGTCTGTGTACATCAAAGAAGACACACTGCGTCTTGTGACTATTACATTCTTATAATCTATTCTGTGTTATTCTATTAGGTGACGTCTAAAAAAATAATAAAAGTTTTCTCCTCGGAGATATAACTAATTTGCTGTTACCCAGTGAAAACACGACCTCCGGGTGACGTCATAGATAGATCATAGAATTTTTACATAGATATGACATAAAAACTGACTTTATTGATGACTTTGATATGATATCATGAAGTATGACGTCATAATTTATCATTTTATCATTTATCATCTTGACGTCAGCTAAATGACAAGTACGCCAACAACTTTACTTTTCTAATGACATCAAGTTGTGACTTTCTGACGCCAGTTAAGTTATTTACGTCCACTATCTTAGGTAAGAATCTTACGTCAGGATGTGGTAATTATAGGTCATATATGACTCATATCTTACGTAAATCATGACGTGACATGACGTCGCTCTGACATCAGTTTGTCATACTTTAATATGTTTACTGGGTAGCAATTTATAAGTTTGGAAATATTTGCTGCAATAATAATAATAATAACTGCACATATCACACATACGGTAGTCTGGTCCTGGTGTGGTCAATGAACAGTAAAAGTCACAATTTTTAGCTATATTGTCCTCCTTATATCCTCATCTCTTATATCTTAATTTTTTAAATTTATTTTTATTTCATTCATGACGTCAACGCCATCTCTTACTTTTTTAACTAAATGACAATGTGTACTCTCTTTAGTCCATTATTGTAGTGTTGCCAATAGAACAAAATTTTCAAATTAATCTAAAATCGTTATTTTATATAAAGGAGTTTAAAAGAGTATCTTCTTATAAAATTCTCTTATTTTATACTAATTTCTATTTACACAAACACATTACATTAAAAATTTATTTGAATAAAAGTTCTAAAATGGGTGTAGTTTATTATTACAACTGGCAAGTCTTTCACAAAATGTCCGACAGCAATAGTCAAAGGGAAGAAATTTTAGAACCTGAATCTAAAAAAATTAAAATTGACCATGAAAACGGGAATGGTGTAACGGACACTCAGTTAAAACTGAAAGACTTTATATTAGAGAGGATTTTAAACAATAGTACGAATAGAAAAAGTGTGTGTGTATTAGGTAAATTTAAGGACAAAAATGGCGTGGCTTTGGTTCATTTAGAAAAAAATGCTTTCAAAGAAGAAGATTTGGACAGTGTAGGTTATTTCTCAGCAGATACAGAACTAAAAACCTTTTTCCAAAACGACATTTACGGGAACTACGAGTGTTTCCCGCCTTCTTCTGTTAATGGTAAGTGCCTTTCGAATTCGTCATTCAAGGCCCCTTTTGTTTCGTGTTTCTTAATAATAGTCACTCTGACTGCGCATGCTATTGACTCATTTCGTGAGAATTTAATATATCAGTGGAAGTCCCAAGGTATTTAAAACATTTTTTTATTTGTTTTAATTATTATGCCATTCTTTTTTAATATCATCGTTGGTAGTTTTAGATCAGGACATCCATATGTTGTGCTGTTGATTTACGTTCGTAATTGGTGCGTACACGTACCGTGTAGCACACAGCTGGGGCAGATAAGGTCTGATAAGCAAGTTTATAGCAAGCAAAAGAATAATATGTATGTTTATTCTTTAAGAAGAAATGATTTGTAGTGTTAATGTTGACTTTGAAATTTAATATACAACCATTAGTGATTATTCAATGTAATAAAGTAACTAATCTTGAATTTTAAAAAGAAATGTTGCAGTAATCTTAGCCTGTTTGCACTTTTAGGGACTGCCCTTTTTTTATATTTGTATTTGTATTTATTTTTCTAAAACAACAAAGTTATTTTTGATGTCTTGATCAAGAAATCAACACCAAACGTCCAAGTATCATGATGAGTGATGGTAGTCTCTTGGCTTGTGGGTTGTACTCTTAAACCCAGCAATTGTATGTTATTGCAAAAGTGTTATATTAATAAGGTAACTTTTATTACTACTGCAGCATATCTTGATATATTGACTGGCTGTCAGTTTAACTTCTCACGAGCTGCTACACTGTACAGCGTTTACTTGTGAAGGCCCTTTACATTGTAGCGGCATATTGTGGCTTATGAGAGCTTAATGGTTAGTGGTCCTCTGTCACTGCTTTTGTGAAGAAGGACGTAAATGTGTAAAAATCTCAAATGATTCAAGTTAACAGGTCCCTTAGTTAGTTAGCATTATATATTAGTAATATGCTTCTTAATTGTTTATTTTTGTTCAATTTTGTGTTAAACTCGCATAGATATTTTTCTATTTTTAGTTTCATATAGTGTTACTCTATTATGCATGATGTGATGGCTTAAAATATTGTTGCATTAATCACAATATAATGGATGCATCCTTAAGATTTTAATAGATAATATAACAACTAATGGCTGTCCAATGAATAAAATAAAAAAAGGATAACTGGGGAGAGGAGCTATATGATTCGATCAAATAGATAGTGCAAATGTGATCTTAGATTTTACACTTCATAATTGTGTGTGGACAGTTATTTTGCTTGTGAGTGTTATGACTAGAAAGGGAGTAGGCAGTAAAGTGACAAGTGATAGAGGAAAATGAAAAAAGTAAACTTCAAACCTTCAAGAAAAGAGCGTACTCCTTCCTAAAAGGCTGGCAACGCGTTTGTGACTCCTGAGTTGCAGACGTTCATGGGCGGCGATAGTCACTTGCCATCAGGTGACCCGTCTGCTTAACCCCCCTCTAACATAAAAAAAAAACTATGCCCCAAAGTAAATTTGGGAACTAGCCAAGAAGATGATGATGAGTGTGTTATGAAAGGCCTTATACTGTAAAAATCAACATATACACTTACTCTGTATATACATTATTATATATTGTGTCCAAAACAACCATTATACTCTTTAGACAATAAAACTAAACATAGTCCTTATCTATACACACTGATGACCCAGCACCAAATTAGTGCATCATTAACGGTACCACAGACCGTGTTGGGTGAGTCTTTAATTGTTATATTTAATGAAAGATATATTTAAAATTGACTTTGTTACTTAAATAGTTATATTTTTGTGTTGTGTCCTTGTTTGTTTGTGTATTGGTGTGTTTTACTACATTGTGACTCATTTCTTTTTTCAAATTATAGACTATACATTAGTATAGTCTATAAATTACTAATAAAAACATACATTTTTATTAAATTATACCTATGGACATAGAGAATGCAGGATGTGGGTAAGCCAATGCTTACAATTAAATTCCATTTCCTGAATTTATGTCAGTTGAATTTGTGCTGAAGCATGCAACAAACCAAATTATAGACATATACACTCGCAGATTATATCCAAAGAGGGTAGGCAGAGGCATATAAAAGAAATAGGGGAGTAAATTGGGAGTATGACGAACGAAAAGGTAGAAATTAAGAGAGGGATGTAAAGAAATCTAATGCTGTTTGCTATATAAACATTTCATGATCCTTTTAAAATTTTTTTACACACCTAAACTACCCATAAAAGCGTCCAATGGTTGCCTGTAAAAAATTGCTTGCATGGTCATTATTTTGAAATACTCTTGTATGTATGATGTACTGAATTGGTGTACAATGCTACAAAAGGTATATTCATACTAATATTATAAATGCAAGTGCGCCTGTCTGTCTGTTACCTCTTCATGCTTAAACTGCTTTACCGATTTAGATAACATTTGGTACAGAAATTGTCCGAGTCCCGGGCAAGGATACAGGGTACTTTTTATTCCAGATAACATTCTTTAAGAGGGTGAAAAGCCGGGTGGAAGTTTGTATGGGGAATCAATAACCGCTTAACAGATGTAGATGAGATTTGGTATGAAGATACTTTGATTCTTGAGGAAAGACATAGGCTCACTGCAGTATCGATAAGTAGCAAAAGCTAGATGTTTATATAGATAGATTAGGAAATGTAAGCAGAAGCTTAAGTTAACCAGGGTTGTATATCTGTAACTCAAACTAATAGCCAATTTGAGTCACCAGAATCTCTGAGCGTTCTATGCAACATCTTTACTTAGTACAAAATATAGTCGCTTGTTTGTGTTGTACGCTTAGATCTTTTAAACCAGGCAAGAGAGATTCAAGAGGACTCCCGGTGTGCAGCGGCCGGCAGGATCGGAGCGGGCCTATAAATGATGCATTTAAAGATGTCCTGTAGTATAAGTCCTATCATAATAATAGTATAATTAATTAGACCACAGTAACACCACATTAGTAGTAGCTGTGGCGGATCGCTAGTCTAATATGCCAAAATAACATTTTTTACAATTTTTGTCTGTCTGTCTGTCAGTCTGTTTGTTCCGGGTAATCTCTGGAACGGCTCGACCGATTTCGACGAGACTTTCACTGGCAGATAGCTGATGACATAAGGAGTAGCTTAGGCTACTTTTTTAAGACTAGCTTCGCCCCGCGGCGTTGCCCGCGGTTATAACAACAAACGCGGGTAACACCGCGGGTCTCAGCTAAGCTCTCAGTGCCTAAACCGCTGGTGCTACAAACTTAGAAATATAGGCAGCTGATACTTTCAGCACTCACTTGGAAAAGATTTATGGAAATTTCACCCCTAAGGGGGTACAAAAAGGGATGAATAACTAATTGATAATATACTTTTATTTCTATTTTTTCAGGTGTAAAGACCACAATAATATACCCTGCTACAGAGAAGCATATAGCCAAGTACAGTCAACAACAGTCACACATTGTTTTGGAGACACCAGAGTTATATGACAAGCTGACTCTCCCACATCTGGAGGAGGAACAGTTCAATTTACAGGTGATTAATGTAATCCATTTAATAACTGCTGTTTAATATTTTTACCAAATATCAATCTGTCCGATCAGTGTAGTAGGCCAAAATCTCCTCTCTAAGGATAGACCTACATCCAGCAGTGGACTATTAGTCTATTGATGAGTTTAGTTAGAATATTCTAGATTTGTAGAAGATTATTAGACAAAGAGGTAGGAGAAAATAGGTGCAAAGGTGCAGGAAACCTTTATTAAACAGCACTGGAACCATAATGTTGCTTTATCTTAACCTAAACAAACAAGGTGTAATAATAAATAATGAAATAAAATGTGATCCACAATATTTGATTTATATTTTCTGAACTTTCCTGTTTGTAAATACCGTTAACTGTTCACCTACAGGCAGGTACCATCCTTATATGCCATCTTAGTATTAAAAAAAAGTATCTCTAGTGTTTTTTATTGGTATTTTTTTATTACTCTATGGAAAATGCTGATGACGAAAAAGATAATACACACCTTTCCAAGAGAATACCTGTTCCCCTACTTTTGAATGTACCTAGGTTTTTCAAGACAATTATATTTTTTGGAAAAATAGGATTAAGGCAGATCATCCCAGATTTTGGAAAAAAAAAAAAACATTTTTGCAAAAAGAAGCTGTCAGAACGTTGTTTAACTTTTTTGTTCATACTAATATTATAAACTAGCTTTTTCTCGCGACTCTGCCCACGTGTATGTCGGTTATCGCGGTAAAAAGTAGCCTATGTAACTCGCCAGCAAGCCAGGCTAGCAACCAGAGTATACTTTTTAGTAGTATTTTGGTGCGCTGCATCCAAATCCGGCTTGCTCTCAGAATTGCTCTATCACGTCAGGTTTTTGAGATGTTCTAACCTAAAAGTGCAATCAACGCAATTTTTGAGGTTATGTGACTTCAAATTTCATTATGCCTAAAAAAGTACATAGGGAAGTCCGACATAATAATCCGACTGATGGGTGGTATCCGAGGGGATTTCCGCACAAGAGAAAAAAAAAGAAAAAAAAGGGTAGTATCTGAGCGAAGATAATGAATATTTGAGCAAACTCAAAGTTATTTGAAAGCTAAAGACTTGAACTTTAAGATACCCTGTGTAATCCAAATACGTAAAGCTGTTTCAAAGGATGCATTGCAAATAACAATATCGAAATTCTTGTTAAAACGCAAATTTTATTAATTTTATTACAGTGGGTTTACAATATTCTGGAAGGCAAGAGTGAGCAGGACAGAGTGGTCTTCGATAATAAGTGCGAGAAGGAAGGTTTCGTACTGCTGCCAGACCTCAAATGGGACGGCATCACTAAAGAGACTCTTTATCTACTTGCTATCATTAGACAGAGAGGTATTAAGTCTTTGAGGGACTTAGATGAGAGTCACCTACCTCTGCTGAGAAGGATTCGCGACGAAGGAAAGGTAAGACTGCTTACATATATAAATATATACATTCTTCTATACAAGTAAATACTACTAAGGGCATGCGCGCACGGGTGACTTTTGTCACGGTGACAAAAAAATTTTGTCACTGTCACATCACGTGTCCAAAGTGAAGTACGCTCACACAGAGTGACAAAACTTATTTGAAATTTAAGGGCCCGTCCGGACAGCTGTATTCCGTCGCACGTTTTTTTCTGCATAATTCCTGTGACACCTGGGATCCATATAGTACTATCCGAATATTTTGTGTGGTATGAAGTAGAGTAGAAAATATTATGTTAACCAGCAGTCTGGTTACCATGGTGTGTAAGATGAGTGAGGTAAAAGAAATATAGGAACCTTTTACACGTCATTAAAGCTCTCGTGACTTACTTGCTAAGGCTGGTCTTTAGTATAGCCTCGTCAGTTGTAGGGCCTTCCCAACAAGACTGCTGAGACCTGTTTATACAAAAAAAAAGTACATCATCATGCCTTCTTTCCCATTTCTATTTGGGGTTGGCTTAAGGTAAAACGGATAGGGTCGCCCGCCCGGGATTCGGAGGTAGGGGCGGCTGTTCTACGGATCCGTTCCAAGAACACCGCCCCTGGGCCAGACGGGGTACCGGCCCGAGTGCTGGCCCTAGCCCTCAACCACATGGCAGACCGCCTCGGGGAGGTGTTAGACGCCAGCTTGGCGTCGGGACGCTTCCCTGAGTGCTGGAAGAGCGGGAAGCTGGTCCTATTAAGGAAGCCGGGACGGCCTGCCGATTCGGTCGCGGCCTACAGGCCCTCGTGCTGCTGGACGAGGCGGGTAAGTTGTTTGAGAGGGTTCTCTCTGCCCGCATCGTCCGGCACCTCTACGAGGTGGGCCTCGGATCTGTCGGATGCCCAATTTGGTTTTCGGGCGGGGCGTTCGACAGTCGACGCTGTGTTGCGCCTGAGGGCCGTGACCGAAGAGGCCGTGAGCTGTGGCGGCGTGCTGTTGGCGGTGTCATTGGACATCGCCAACGCATTCAATAGTCTGCCATTCAGCTGCATCAGGGAAGCACTTCTCTATCATGGGGTGCCAAAGTACCTGAGGCGGCTAGTGGCAGACTATTTAGAGGAGTGTACCGTCGTGTACGAGGACCGAGAGGGTAATTTGAGGTGTCGGCCCATGTCGTGCGGTGTACCACAGGGGTCTGTTCTTGGACCCCTCCTGTGGAACATAGGGTACGACTGGGCCCTTCGAGCCGATTTCCCCCCCGGGCTGGGTGTAATTTGTTTCGCAGATGACACTCTGGTGACAGCCCGGGGGGCAAACTTCCAAGAGGCGGCGCGCCTGGCCACAAGGGGAGTCTCCCTGGTGGTCGGGCGCATTGAGGCGCTGGGCTTACAGGTGGCCCTAGATAAGACGGAGGCCCTGTTATTTCATGGGCCCCGTCGTGGTCCACCCCCTGGCGCCTCAATCGTGGTCAACTCGGTCCTCGTACCGGTTCGGGCCCAGATGAAATATCTGGGCCTGATCCTCGACGGGAGGTGGCTCTTCGACGAGCACTTCCGACAGCTTGCTCCAAAGCTGGTCGGCGCTGCGTCTGCCCTAGGGCGACTTTTGCGCAATTTGGGTGGACCTAGCGTCGCGACAAGACGGCTGTACACGGGGGTTGTCCGGTCAATGGCACTATACGGTGCACCGGTGTGGGCGGCGGCTCTGTCCGCCCAGAATAGGGCTCGCCTCTGGCGCCCTCAGAGGGTAATGGCGGTCAGAGCCATACGCGGTTACCGCACCGTTTCGACGGAGGTGGCATGCGCGTTGGCCGGAACTCCCCCGTGGGATTTGGAGGCGGAAGTGCTCGCCGAAGTTTATCGGCGAGTGGCTGACTCCCGGGCGGAGAGCGGCTTTCGCCCTCCGCCCGAGGATGTGCGCGAGTGGCGCGAAGCCGCTCGCCGAGCCACGATGGCTCGTTGGTCGTTCCGGCTGGAGACTCCACGCGCTGGCTTCGCCGCCGTGGAGGCTCTCCAGCCGGTCATCGCCGAGTGGGCAGGGCGGCCCTTACCTTCCGGCTGACGCAGGTGCTTTCCTGGCACGGTTGCTTCGGAAAGTACCTGCACTCGGTCGCTAGGAGAGAACTGAGTCCCGCCTGCCACCACTGCGACTGCAGTGAGGACTCGGCCCAGCACACGTTGGCGGTCTGCCCCACATGGGCGGCGCAGCGCCGTGCCCTCACTGCAGTCATCGGAGTGGATCTCTCGCTACCGGCCGTAGTACGCCCCATGGCCGGTAGCGACAGTTGTTTTACCGCGGTCGCAACCTTCTGCGAGGAAGTAACCTCGCAGAAGGAGGCGGCGGAGAAGGCCCGGGAGGACGACCTCCACTCGGACCCGATCCGCCGCCGGCGAACCGGGCGGCGGAGGCGCGCCTATCACCGCCTCATGCCGCCCTGAGTGTGGCCGCGGGTGGACGGTGTGGGTTTCCCCTCCACCCGCATTAGTTTGGCCAGCCGCGAGGGGGCGGCGTCCGCGTGTGCCGGACGTCGCCTAAAGAAAGGAAAAAAATTTTGAGACGGAGCCCGCACCAGGAGCGGGCCGGCGCTAGGAGGGGTCCGGATGTCTTAATAACAGCTGTTCCCGGATCCCTCCTATTACAGGCGCAGAGTGGCACACCGTGTGGTTTTAGTCGGTCCGAGTCCGACACACCACCCCGCCGAAAACCCCGGTGTGGTGACGGTCCGAGGGGATTTCCACACGTTAAAACGGATAGGGTATTTAGGTAAAGAGATAGGATGTCTTGGAGGAGGACTTAGACCGCAGTAGCTCAATTACGTACATATGTCTGTTCTATGATTAGGGGCCCACTAGGACAGAGACAATGACTGACCATATACAAACATTTTGATAGTTAATGATGTATCTTTCTTGTTCCAGAAAAAGATTTTGGAGAAGTACGGTGTTCCCGGCAGTCAGCTGCGCATTTATCTCCACTATCAACCTTCGTTCTACCACCTCCACGTCCACTTCACGTACCTAAAGCACGAGGCGCCCGGCATCTATGCCGAGAAGTCGCATTTACTCGAAACAGTTATTGACAATATCGAAATGATAGGTAATTACTATAAAAAAGCAACTCTGCCCTTCACCATTCGGGAAATGGATAATATTTTCAATATTTATGAGACAAATGGTCACGTACAGAGAATCAAACAAGAAAACATTGAATTAATTGATAAGTAAATTCTAGTTAGTAAGTGAAATTATTGAAGATGTTGATCAAGAACATTTTCATCGAGTTACGCTCTCGCCTGAGAAGCTGCAACGTTTTTATTACGACTGGAGTCGATTTTACAAAGAACTGTAATTTAAAAATAAGTATACAAGCCAACTGCATCGTCCTGAACTATTACAAAGACGATGACAGGTCGAAGAGACGAGACAGTTTGTCATCCATAGAAAGTCTCTCCGACTGCTCTTCAGATGATGACGAAGAAGTCAGCTATGTCATCCCTGTGAGGGAGTTCTGCCAGATAATACCAAATTCTATGTCATGTCTCAAAATAGATAAGAGCACCATATCGTTCAGGATTCTCACTGAACCTAAGAACGGCGGTAATTTCTACAAGGAATTGCTTTTAACTAATAATTTAGAAACGACCACTAAAAGCAATCTGTTAAAACTGAACGTCACAGTGGGCGAAGAGCTTAAAATCACTTGTGCTAACTGTTCAAATGTTGTTTCCAACACTGGTGTTAAATTTAACAGAATCCTGGAATTACCAACAGCAAATTTGGATATGACCGAATGGTTCTGCCACGGACATGGCCACTCGCATGGCAACTCGTCGCAAGCTGAACCCATAAATTTGCAGCCAAACAAGACTGATTTTCTGTACAGGCTGACATTCTTTGTCGTCAACAACACAATCCTTGCAGAAAAAACTAATAAATTCAACTCGAAAAGAGAGGTTTACCATTGCAACCGTTGCCTGGCGTGGCTCGGATTAAAAAATAAGGATACAGTTAAATTATTCAATTCGGAAGTTAAAATTCAGCAAAATAATGTAGAAAAATGTGTATTTGCTGTTAAATCTCTTCAAAATATACATACCAATGATTTTATTTACACCATTGAGAATGTGACCAGAGAATTCAACTTAGGTTTTCAATACACAGTCATGTGTAAAATAATATTAGAATGCACAATATCAGCTTCTAAAAAACAGTTTTTACTCATTTGGGTGATGGATAAAGAGCTCCAAGTCCTAAGAAATAATGTGGAAAAGATTTTGAGTGAGAAAGTTGAACTCCAATCTAGTTTTGTGACCAAAATTTTGTTTAAAGTGGAATTTTGTATGAATGAGGAGGTTGAATCGTGGCTGTCGGACCCCACCGTGGTCTCCACCGACATATCCAAGGGTATGTTCAGCAATGGTCTCGCGCATCTGCAGAAAATGTCTTTGAAAGTGCCCGAGTCCTTTCGAAACACGAATGGGTACTGTGTAAGCTACCTGAAAGTTTGAACTAATAAATTTACAAAGGGATTTACTTGTTTTATTTATGATTTCAATATGTTATTCAATATAAACCTGGCCAATTTCGAAATGTTTAATATTGGATAATTACATTTACTCTAGGATGTATTCAAGTCAATAAGTCTTCAATTCTAACTCTCCAGGTAAATCAACTGCGGGATACTTTTTACTAATTAACTTTAAGTAGGTATCACTTCAATAGCAGCCCAATCCGAGAGTTGACAAGTTTTCAAAAATTTACTTTTTTAAACACACTATGTGTTAAAAAAGTGGGTTTAAAGAAATAGGTTTAAAAAAGTAATATTTAATCCTTTATTTTACTCTTCAATTAAAGTTTAACTTATATTTAAGGTATATTTTTCAAAGAACAGCAATACTGGGGCAGGGTACTTTATAATATTGTGTGATACTACACTGAAAGTTAAAAATTAGCACTGTACTTACATATCAATTTTAACATTACTGGATGCAGAACATAAATCCGAATTTGTGGTTATCTACACCAAATTATTATTTTTCTTTGCGCGCTAACTAAAGCTAAGACAGCCGATTAGTTGAACAGCTGTCAGAACTTGCCCAATTACGACACATTTTCTGATTGGTGTTCCTTATCACGTGACTAACCTTATAAACCGATAAAAATCTTACTTTTCTCAATAAAATAGTAATAATCTTTGTTCACTGCCATTATTTTAAGCTATTTATGTATGTATGTTTAAAATTTTCATTATATACCCTATCAATAGATCTAGGTAGGCACATAACGAAAATTTTAAATACTCAGCTCGCGGATAATTTCCTTATTTTTTTTAATCGGTTAAAACTAATATATTCGCGATTACGGCAAAATTTAGTGAAATAATAAAAAAACGGCGTAAGGGGTCTATGGACGGAACGAAACGAAGTTCCGCAAGAAATTCATATTTTATATATTTATCAAACGTCTACCAAAAAGCGACAGGAACTTCGTTCCGAGCGGGGTTCCATAAACTCCTCACGCCGTTTTTAAATATACTTTATACAGAAATAGATTAGTAGAAGTAGGGCTGCCATCTCTAAAACCTGCCCCGGTCTCTAAACCCAGGACCGGTAGCGAAGTTCCCCGGATTTTGGAGCTTTCACCCCGGACATTTCAATACTTTTTTCATTCACTTACATCTTGATTAAAATATATTTTACTCCGTACTTGATAGAAGGTAACTTCAATTTTAAGCCTCTTGTTGCATGAAATAGTGTGCTTAATCATTCTTGTGACGACAAGTGAGTAATTTTGCTTTATTCTTTAACTTCTTAGGTAGGTATTAAATAAAAGATAAACAAACCCAATAATAGTTACTCGGTTTATAAAATAAAAACTTGTTTAACAAGGGCAGCGCGTGCGGTGAAATACCTAACCCATAGCTTTTATTTACATAAATTATGGGAACGGGATCTGATGGAAAACCCGGACTTTTATTGTAGTCCGGGTTGCACGGGACTACAATTTAAACCCCGCCCGGACGCTCCCCGGACGTCTTTCAAACTAGGACAAATCCGGGGAAACCCGGACGGATGGCAGCCCTAAGTAAAAGTAAACCTTCCAGTTCAGTTATCGCGTGTTAGCCGATAGCTTAACTTGATACCAAAGCGACGCCTCGCTTAATTTTTTTTCGTAGGATAGGGCAATAACAAAATGCATGCATATTGCAGAATTATATATTTCATAACAATTTAGTGATATAAATATGAAAACAACATCGATTCAATAGTTTTATTTTGTACATACTCATACAAAAAATATACTTTGATAGGTGCACTCGATAGTAATAAAAGTGGTATTTATGTGCACATTTTATACGATAAAACTTTAATAACTTTTAAATTTAGTTGAATTTCTTCAAAATTTTACTATGCTGGATAATTTTACGTAATAGCAAGGCCACGACTCAGGCTATCGCCATAAAAAAAGCAAATAGGTATTCTCTTATCTTTGCTACTAGAAAGTGTACACATAAGTGCATTAATTTGAAAAGATTATTAAATGTACATTATTTGTAAACCCACAAAATTCAATAACAATATCTAAATTTAAATGCGGTACGATATGTTTTTATCGTAGGTGCTCCTTACCTAAGATTCTCATAAATACAATACCTATTCTCTTAATTGGCTTATGCGATAACCGAATACTTCATTTGTGAAGATACAAAACCCATACAGTTAAAGTATTAATTTTGAACTTTGTAACAAATAGCAATATGCATACTTGTAGCACTGATGAAACATTTTGTCAAGACAGTAAAAGATAAAATGAAGCAAAAACGACCGATGATATTTCCTCTCCATAGGGCCGTCACGTCAGTCACATACACGGAGCAAATACAAAGAGGTGTTGTAATTAGATTTTCCTTGTGGGGTAAGGGGGTGTTAAGCTCCGCCCCCTTCAATTTCCATCTACAAAATAATAGCAAAACTACTTCTATGTCGATGTTGCTATTTAGTTTAGCTATCTCACATTAAGAATAGACTTTAGAGTAACTGTCATCAGTGGTATAGTTTTAAAGCCACTCCCTCTATGGTACAGTTTGCGTGGTGCAATTATTGCTGATTTGAGTTAATTTTCTTCACATACTTTTAGCTATTAATTAAACTAGATATTCTCAGTGTAGAAAAGCTATGGCTAATAATTAACAGTGTTATTACCCAATTTTCCTGTTCCCCTAAAATACCTAACATTACAAGGACAATACTTCTTGTAATGTACGACCCATTACATACACCATTCAACCCATTATCATATCCAAATAATAATTTAATAATAACTTCAATTCATAAGTATAATTTATAATTGTTCATAAAATTAGTTCTATGTCATGTGCGGTTGTGGAGCGCAGCTGTGAGATGCAAGTTGTCACAACGGAATAGTTGAAGTACCAGAAAAGTCCAAAAAGCACGGCGAAAAGTGTATCTGATTGTTGTTAAGGAATTCATTTTTTTTTATTTGATACAGTAGTCCATGTGGTGATGGATATTCATCCCGTGGGTGTCGTAGAGCCGACTAAGAGAGCAAACTACGCAGAACAACAACACTGCAGAGAGAAGGAAAACTTGACACAAACCCTATACCAACCCGTCTGGCCAGCGTGGTATAGTAGGCCAAAACCTCCTTTCTAAGGAGAGGCCTATGTTCAGCAGTGGACTAGGTATTAAAGGCTGTTGATGTGATGTGATGAATTTGATACATACCAACAAGTAACCAACCAAATAATTGAAACCACAAAGTTCTAGCTTAGTAGTCATCATTCAAAAGGAAAAGAAAAAATATTCTGCTGCTGCTATGACAAAAATATTGGAATAGTGTATTCAGACCATCATTCGTAGTCAACTATCATTAGAATGGTTACTCGTACGTTACCCTCGTTCCAAAGGGTTGGGCAAGAGTGTTATGGCAAGGATATCACAAGTCTCAGATGGGAAGGAGACTGTAGGAGCATGAATTGTATTGGTCTATACCCATCTTGTGCTTGGAGAGGCCACTAAGACAGAGGTATAAACTGGTGCCCATTGCTGAAGCATACAATTATTTATTTAAAAGTAGAGTATTTAAAAGTTAATATTTTAAATATGAAAATCTGGTTCACTCAAAATGAACCTAATTGCAATCAACCGTAAATGTTGATTGTTGCAACAGAAATAAATTATGCTTGATTAGTAAAGCACAAAGTACTAGCTAACAACAAAATTCTGTAAATTTATTTAACCTAGTTTTTTCTGTTCAATAAGGTAAAGGTTATAAAATTTGACAAAAATTTTACTTGCAATTGACTTATATAGGACAGAACACGTAATGACCATTCGAGGTTTCCACATGCTACAAAAAAGTATTTTGCATACCTTCAATGGTACAAAACTATTCAAATATTGCACCATTATGTTTGTCTTGCATTTTTTACAAAAGGATACGCACAATCATTTTCTCCCAAGGCTCCACCATGTAAAGCTCAGTTACCAGGAGGTACCGCAAGTACCAGTAACTAATGAATTGCTGAATTTTTTTCCCAACCTCCATCTCTGATACGCTGTTTACTTGGCAAACAAATAAGTGTATAAGGAAATTAAAATGTAAGGTATGGATACAGCGCACTATGCGATGACAAATGGTAGATTAGACAACCGATAGACTTGTGACACACACTTGTAAGTAGTTCAACTTCAATAAATGGAATTATAATTTATAATTATCAACTGGACTCGATTCGATATTTAACTGTCAATGTCATATCATATAAATCTTGACGATACCTGTCTGCCATTTTCTTTGACGTTCCTTTACCGTTCGGAAACTTAATATGAATATTTTACAATTGTTTAGCGTAGCGTCTCATTTTCCAACTTTCCTTAATATTGTAATACATAAATTTCAAGTGATACGACTTGTTTTTTCATCGTATTAATAAACTGTTCCTACCCTGTGCCTATCCATATGATATTGAGCTTTACATTAAGTAGTAAAAACTACTAAATTATTCGGTGTAATCCGATTTACCCTATATTCCCATATATATATATATATATATGTATATATTTATATATATATATATATATATATATACATATATATATATACACATATATATATATATATATATATATATATATATACACGTACATACAGGTGTATGAAATGAAACTGTGAAACACTGTACAAAGTAGGAATAGGTGTAAGTAATGGATTTTCAATAAATATATTGTATGTAGTCAGAACTCTGTAACTTATCTTTGGCAGTCAAAAAGAAAACTAATTGTCGCCACAGCATGCTATGTGATAACATACATGTAACATATATAATGCGCTATGGCGACGCAATTTCGGTGTTTCACATCTGCCAGACGTCCCGAGATGGTTCATATATTGTATGTAGTGAGAACTCATGAGTTACTGAGTTCTGACTACAAATAATATATCCATTGAAAGTACATTACTTACACCTACATCTACTTAAGTATAGATTTGTTTACCTTATTAGGATAAATATGACTTTAGAGCTCGGCTTTTGTCAGAGAGGGTCTCCATTGGGTACCCATTCCTATAGTATATATGTACATATATACTCGCATATACATATCGGTATTATAATTTTTTTCCATACTCTATGGTTGTACTAGAAGATAAAACACGGCCAGGTCTAAGGCCGTGTTTTATTAAGAGGGCGTATAAAGCAAAATTACCAATCTTATTTTTGATTTTACATGAAAAATTCCGGACCAAATCTTAAAATAAAAATGTGTGGATAACTACATGATATTTCCGAGGGTTCACATTGATCAAAAACATGAAATAATAACATTTCCTCAATAGAAAAAAATCACGAAGTAACCTCTAATTCTAATATTTTTCCGTTTTGTACTCGATATGGTAATGCCTATTGCGACAAAAATTTGATAATTAATTATACTTTTACAAGAGTAAAGGCTTTGTTTAGGCATTTTATGTAATTCATTTTAGTTTTGGATATATTTGGATATAACAGTTTTGGCGCATACTACGTTTTTATTCCGCGCAAGAATTCATCGTCCGTCGCACGTTGCGGGAGCTTCAAGCATATTTCTATTTCAGACATCAGTCGCTACCGCTCCGTTGAGACGAGAGGACTGCGCTCAAGTGTTTAGGCGCGCCGAGTTATTATCAATTCAATTATTAGATTATTAGGATAGGAGGTAATAAATTAGATAAATAATAGGTAGCTATTTACTTTTGCTTTTAGTTATTTATATTATTCTTCGCAATAAAAAATTCTGATCATTTTCCCCTAGTGTAATTATGATATCTTCCAAAAGTCTAGATAGACGTATGGACTACATAATGATCTTGCGAGTATTCTATAAAAATATTAAAATAATAATAATTACATTCTCCATAAGTCTATGATCACTCATAAGTAACGCGGGCAGTATAGTTTGGTATAGTATATGCAAAATAAACACAAGCTTTTAGTTGGTGTCTGTCTTTGTTCGATGAAATATATTTAAGTCGATTTCGAAGCTATTTAAGTATGTCCATTAGGTATTTAAAACCTATTTTTAACCGACTTCCAAAAGAAGGAGGTTATCAATTCGACTATTATGTTTCTTTTGTGTGTGTTTGTTACGCGATTACTCCATTTATTTTTATTGTTCTTTTTTTATTTGAAAAATTATACTCCTGAGGTGGTCCCATTTAAATTTGGTGAAGATCTGATGCTGGTCTTCAGAGATATACAATGGAACTCTTCAAAAATAGACGTTAAATCGGTCGTGATGGCTGCAATCGCTTGGATGTTTATATGCTTGTCAAATATTTTTATAGGATATTACAAATAAAACTGGAAAAATAAAAAAAACTTTTTTGCAAAAAAAAAAAACCGACATCAAAATAAACACAAATCGAACACAAAAAGAAAAACACTAAAAGTGAAAAATAACTTTAGCTTCAGAAGCCGGTGACAAAAATACCAAATCAATCAAACAAAGGTCAAGCTTCAGAAGCCGGTGACAAAAACACCACATCAATCAAACAAAGGTCAAGCTTCGAAGTCGATGGTTGTGGGCTTCGGTTTCCGCATTTAGACTCAGAGTGGTCCTTTATGCGTCGAGGATTGGTTGACTAGGTGAGCCAGCCAAGCTCCTTCCAGAAGCGCAGAAGCCTCCTGGGACGTTCACAGGCTTCTAGGAGCGACTTTATATCATGAATGATACTTGCCCGTTGTGTGGCCACTCCCTCGCATTCCAGGACTACGTGGACGGCCGTTTCTTCAGCTTCCAGACATTCCCTGCACAGGGGACTGTCCTTCGCATTGATTATGAATAGTTGTCGGTTCAGGGCTAGATTTCCTGTAATAGTTCCGACAACCATTCTGATTTCCGGTCTGCTAAGACTGATCAGTCTGCAGGTGAGTCGTGGTGTGACTTGATTCAGCACCAGTTTGGACTGTCTGCAGCCGGGTGAGTTTTTCCACCTCCGGTTGTGTGCTTCACAGGTCCGTTGCCTGACCCAGCATCGTATTTGGTTAAACGATATGGGCAGGAGTGGGGTTGGGCCAGAGGTTGGGGTTGCCGAGCCCCTCCTTGCCAACTCATCTGCGGCATCGTTCCCGTGTGAGTTACTGTGCCTTTTAATCCATTGGAGGAGTACCCCATTGAATATAGCGAGCTGTGCTTGGCATTCGAAGACAATACCAGAGGTCATTGTGTTGCCCTCCAATGCCTTTAAGACGGCCATGCTGTCGGATATTATTCGGATGTTGTAGTCCTTGATACCCCTTGACATGGCCGTTGTGGCAGCGTAAGTTATTGCCACACATTCACATTGAAATATGGAACTGTGTTGGCCTAACGCTAGTGATATGTTTATATTTAGGTCTTGCGAGAAAACTCCGGCTCCAGTTCCTGACCTAGTCTTGGAACCGTCCGTGTAAATTCGGACTTCGTTAATGCCGGATTGATCTCGGTCATTTCCATGTATCTGGATGTAGTATCTTCTTGTGAAGATATGGTGTTTTGGGATTCTATCGCATGGAGCTGCTATCAGTGGTTCGTATTCCACCAATTGATCCCATAATTTGGAGTGCGATCCCTCACTTTTGTGCCATAGACCCAGGTGTTTGAGTCTAATGATCGCCATGGCGCCCTTCTGCTGTATGAATAAATCCAGGGGTGGCAGACCAAGAGCCACCTCCAGTGCGGCAGTAGGCGTTGTGCGCATACAGCCAGTGACCGCGGAGCATGGGAGTCGCTGGAATTGCTGCAGTTTGTTTATGACAGTGCTTAGCTCTGTTCTCTGCCACCAGACAACAGCACCGTAAGTGATTAATGGTCTTATGACTGTCCTGTATAGCCATAAAGTAATTTTGGGTGATAGTCCCCAGCTTTTGCCGAGTAGCCGCTTGCATTGGCAGAAAATAATGCAGGCTTTATTCAGTTTTTCATCGAGGTGCTTATTCCACAGGAGTTTACTGTCCAGTATTACTCCTAGGTATTTGACCTCTTTGGTAAGAGTAAGTTGTGTTCCAAATAGCTTGGGAAGTCTGAGATGTCCTAGGCTGCGTTTGTTTGTGAACATGATCATCTCTGTTTTGGATGGGTGCTACGCACCATTGTTCCACGATCTTCAGTGCAAGTCTCATTTGATCGCATGTAATGCTCTCAAAAGGACCGCTGATGAGAATAGTAAGATCGTCTGCATAGCCTATTGTGAGGAATCTTCGGTCATTAAGTTGTGCGATGAGCTCATCCACAACAATGTTCCAAAGAGGGGGGGAGAGTACACCGCCCTGGGGGCAACCTTTAGCCACCACTGCTCTAGTCACTTCGCTCACAGTGAATTGAATAGCTCTATATCTTAGCATGCTGTCGATCCACCCTGAGATTGTGGAATCTACACCATGCCTAGACAGAGCTTGGCTAATGCTGGTGAAGTTGGTCTTGTCAAAGGCTCCCTCGATATCGATAAAGGTGGCCAGTGTTGACCTTTTGTGATTTAGATTGTCTTCTATATATGAAACAACTCGATGTAGGGCAGATTCTGTTGATTTACCCATCGAGTATGCGTGTTGATTGAGGTGTAGAGGGTGACTGACTAACGCAGTTTCCCTGATTTCCCTATCTATTAGCCTCCCGAGAACCTTTAGTAAGAAAGATGTGAGACTAATAGGTCGGTGTGATTTGGGTTGTGTGTAGTCACCTTTACCAGGTTTGGGGATGAAGACTACTTTAACTTCTCTCCATTTCAAGGGGATGTACTGATGCGCCAGGCAGCCCCTATAAATTTTTACAAGATGGTTCAGTAGTGTCATATCACACCATCTCACTAGGCCTGGGAAGACACCATTTAGTCCTGGCGCCTTGAATGGTAGGAAGCTGTTAATTGCCCATCTTAGTTTGTCATGGTTGACAACTTTGCGGGCCGTATCCCAGTCTGTACCATCTGGTGGGTTTTCCCATCTGTCTTCCCATTTTTCCATCACATCTGATATGCGACTTCCAGGGAAGTGTGTTTTTAATAACAGCTCTGAGGCTTCCGAGTCTGTTTTG